TTGCAAGAGTTCCCCTGGTCACACTTCAGCACTGCCTGACTGTCCCAGACACCCTCACAGAGCCCAGAGGACCAGCAAAGGCACTGGGACACCTCCTGCCCACCACACAGCTTCAGACAAACCACTTTATTCCGTGCTCCAGCACCTTTTTTCCCCTCACAGGCTGGTGCTTGGGTATTACCAAGAGCAGCCAGATAAACAACATCACCACACAGTGCCAGTGCCATTTTACAGATGGCATTTTCCAAGTGGCAACTCAGTGATGTGATGTCTGAATCTCAGCTATCATTTAAAATAAAATTAAAACTAAAAAAGCAAAAACCCCAGCAGAGAGAAGATAACAAACAAGACCTTGGACGCTCTGTAGATCCTCCCAAAAATATCCCGATATTCATGAGCATCGCTAAGTCCCAGAATCTCAAAATCTTGAGTCAGGACAGTTGGATGCATCTGATACAGGAATGACTCAGATGGGAGCGTGGAGGCAGGGAGTGACATTTTCTGCTGTGGGCAACATCCCTTTATTTTAAGCTCAAAGCTACAAACCTCACAATTTATTACTTGATTGAAAAAAGCCGCTCTCTGCCCTGGCTGCTCCCGGACTCATCCCAAGGAACAAGAACCATCCTCCTTATCCTCAGCTTTCACATCCTTAACTTCATTTCCATTTCTTTAAATAAATTCAAATCCTGCTGACACCTTGAATACAAGTTATCTCAGTAAACACATTGAACACAATCCCAAGCCCTCAAAAGAGGAAAGCTTAAGCTGCCTTCCCAAGCAGTGAGCAGGAGGAAAGCTCCAACCCCCACCCCTGGCTTCTTCAGATCATCCCCCACGGAGTCAGAGGCAGACCAGGGGCATTCAGGCAGGTATCTGTATGAACCCATACAGGGGTGGGAAGACCTCTACCAAAGGGTGTAATGGCTCAATGGGAAGAGAGAAGGAGTCACCCAGAGCTACACAAGGGACCAGCACTGGCACAGTGTCCTGAAACTGCCCTTCAGCGAGCTGGCTGTTTCTGTCCTACCAGGCTTTGAGAGCTCCCAGCCCCTCAAGGAACACAGACAGCCCAAGTGTGGCAGGGTCTGGCTGCTGATGGCTCCATGACTTGGACCAAAGTCTTTTCCCCACGACAATACTGCCGGTTCTGCAGAAACGCCCCCCCAAACCTGCCCTCACTATACCTCGTGCAAGAATGGGGTGCACAGCCCTGTCTCCATGTACCTGCACAAAAGTAAAACCCTCCAGCTCTCCAGCTGGATGATGAAGAGCTGAAGCAAGCACTCACCAGTCCCCTCCTCGCCCCAACACTTCCCCTGCACCCAGACAGTCACCTAGGTCACCCCAACGCCCCCAGGGATTTGTCAGGCTCCTCTTTACAAGCTAAATCCATCAGCTAATCCCACCCAAAGCCACAGCCTCCACCCATTTAGGGGGCTCTGGCTGCAGCTCCTCCATCTGAGCTGCAGCACCTCAGCAAGAGGTGGCCCCGCGCCAGCAGCTGGAGACCCATCAGACATCACTGCACACCCTGACTCAGCTTTCACACATTTCCGTAGCAAATGTGACACCTTCCCCTGGTTTAACTGCTCTGAGCCACCAGGCCATCTGCATTTCCTGCCCTGTGGCTGCAGCAGAAATTGCTCATCGGCCCCTCCTATGAGGTTCAGAGGTGAGGAGTCAGACCCAGCACCACTTCTGGGAGCCGGTGACCCTGCAAGGCAGGTGGAGCACAACAGAAACCCCAGGGAGGAAAGAAGGCAAAAGCTTTCAGGATCTGAACCATTTAGTACAGTCTAAAGATGCCTAAACCCAAGATTTGGGTGCAACTCCTGTGCTGACCCAGCACAGCACGGGGACAGCAAGGCCGTGAAAGGAGGTTTGGGCTTTTCAGCCCACCCATCTGCCGTGCATGGGGCTGGAAAAAAAAAAGAGTCAGAACAAACTGTCCTTCAAGGAGACCCATATTGTTCAACACCACCCTACAGAAAGGGGTGGAATAGAGCAGTTTTGTTCTTTAGGGTGGCAAAGTCTAACCAGGACCACGCTGGTCACTGCAGCTGCATCTCTGCTCCAAAACAAGCACCCCCACCCGAGCAGCAGCCATCCCCAAAACAGCTTCCCCAGCAAAGCTCCAGCTTCTGCTTGAAACAAGACTGCTGTGGATAAAAGGAAGAGGCAGAGTCTCCCCGGCGGGTGTCGGAGGCTTTGGCGATAAGGCAGGGGATACTTCTAAGCTTGTCTCCACAAACACGGGGATTAGCAATTTACTTCTCTTAAAAACAAAATCCGGGATTTTAACATGATCACAGGCTTGGAAAGAAAAATAAACATCAAGAAACTGGGAAAGGGAAGAAGAGAAGGAGAGTGGAGCAAACAGGCAGTGCAGTGAAAGCTGAAGTGCTTCTTAGATTGGAACGAGAAATGCACTGAAGTCAGACTTGAAATCTTGGTAGTGCTGAACAACAGGGACTGTGAGGACTCTCACACCCATTTCTTATCAGTGGTAACACCATGGGCACTAAGGGAAGCCTTTCTAATGATGTGCATGAGAAAAGGCCCATTTGTTTCATGCAACAGAGCATATAATGCATTAATTACCTACTGAATCGGAAAAGTAATGTTGAAAACATGTTTGAATTAAAGCTAAAGGAGGGTTTCAGCTAAACCCATTATGTTCACTGGCTTTGCTGTACCTTCAGTGCTTAATGCCCTTTCAGAGCAAACCTCTGCACAGGACTCCAGTGTCATACCAGTCACGACAGCACAGAAAAGCCCCATAAAACCCACAGAGGCCAGCTCCCACACAGACCCCAACCTGCACCACCCACCCATGGCACCTCCAGAGGCTCCCACATCACACAGGGGGATGCTGCTGAGACCATCATCTCCTCCCTCCGCTGCCTCACCCCCACAAAGGTGCCCTAAACACCACCCAGCCCACAAGCACCCCAGCAATCCCTCATCAGCCAGGGCTAATCTCAACCTGTCACACTCAGGACTAACAAATTGGGCTGTTGGAGAAGACATAATCTGCCTGTGTGTTCCTACCCTGGCCATCACTGCAGAATAAAGGCACCAGAGAGCAATATTTAGATCAAGTGGCTGTAGCCATTAATAATTAGCACTTTAAAACTTCAAAGGGTGATGCTGGCCTCCACAAGCCGAGCTCAGCACACCCAGGGATGGTGGGGAGGAGTGCTCATCCTCAGCGCTCCCGTATCCCAAGGGAGAACTGAAACACAGGGCTGAGGGTGCCCGTGACAGCACGAGGCACAGACACAAAATTCCCCCCCAACTTGCACCCCTGACAGCTTCTACAGCAGAAGACAAAGGATGTTATCTGAGCATCCCACAGGGGCATCTGAGAGCATCCCAAAGCCACTGCTAAACCAGTCACCTCCTGCCTTGCAATGCTTGCACTTGTCACTTGGCCCACATGAGAGTGATGCTCTTAATAAACCCACTGGAGCCCAGGGGTGGGAGAGATGATGCCACCTGATACCGATGGAAACAAACACAACACAGGAGGTCAGAGGGGGGAAATGTGCTCCAGGAAGCTTGGGGTGGGTACATGCATCCCCCTGGTTGGCGCCCAGAAGGTCACGCTGCGCTGCACAAGCCAGTGAGTTGTTCAGTTGATTCAGTTTGATCCTGGCACAACAGAGAAAACTGCTTCTGCTTTAAGAGCACTCAATCCATCCCACCTTTATCAGCAACTCCTAATCTTAAGCCATTCTGTTTCTTCCAGAAAAAGCAAAGACAGAAACCTCAACAGAAAAAAGGGAATTGAAGTCTGAAATCAAGCAACTCCAGATCTTCAGCTGATTTTACTTCTAGCCAAATAAAACAAGTTGATTAAACCACTTGTTCAGACTGCTAAAGCTACCAGAAGAGCAAAATGCATTCCCTTCACATCAGAGGATGCTCAATGCACTTAAACCAAACATCTTCCAGGTGAAGAGAAAAAATAAATACAAAACAGGAAAGGATCAGCACTATAGTACTTGCATGTGTCTGAACATAAACCTTTGGAAATGCAGAGTGAAGCCAAGTTCTTCAGTAAAGTAAGTGGACAAAGCTCCTTCCATGGACTCCAGCAGAGTTTTGTCTGCTTAATCTATAGGTAAACCACAGTCTCAGCTTTGAAGAGCATCTCCCTGGGAGTGACCAGCACTGTCACTGCACTATACCCAGCAGGAGCCTGACCTAAGAGCTCAGACCTCCCATCCACCCTTTACCTCTCCTCTCCTCACACTCTTCATTGATCATTTATTCCCATTGCCACAGCATCTTCCTCAGCTCTGTATAAGCCCCTGAACACAAGAGTCAGGATGAGACCTACTGAGATGCATCTCTCCTAGCACAGAAGAACAAATGGATCTTTTCTGCCCGCACACGCCCATCAGGTACCACGGGAGTGTGGGGTCTGAGCTGCAAACACACCTTCTGGCATAGGTAAGAACAAGGGTTCCAGTGACTCCAAGTCATCGCTAACCTCGCTCTCCCAGCAGCCGGCACGTGGAGGTGGGACACCGGGAAGCCTCGATGCTCACAGAGCTACCTGACCTCAAAGTCCCCCCGGGGATGCTCAAGGCCAGCATCCACCCTGCTGGACACTACCCCGATACAACGGTGATGGCAAGGACGCGTCTTCACCTCCTCCCCGGGGAGCGCGGTGCACACCGGGGAGCGCTGCCGGGAAGGATGCTTCGGGCAGCCTGGACCAGCCCCTGCTCCCCAAAACCACCAGTGACACCTGTAACACCCCCAGCATGGCAGGGGCACGACACACCCGCCCTGCCAGACCCCAGCCCGGGGTCGGTACGCCCGCACCCAGCCCCAAGGTGGGGAAGGTCGGTGCTGGGCACACGGGGTTGAGATGCTCCAGGGGTCCCTGAAGCCGGAGGGGCCCGGGCAGCCGCCGCCCCGTCCCCTTTGTCCTCCCGGCGGAGGATGGGGCACAGCCCCGTCCCGGACACGCGTGGGCCGCTCACCTGCGGGGCCGCTGCCTGCCGCCGCCTCCTCCACCTCCTCCTCCTCCTCCTTCTCCTCTTCTTCCTCCTCCGCCACCGCCTCCTCCTCCTCCTCCTCCTCCTCCTCCCGCACCTCCTCCGCGGGCGGCGGCGGTGCGGGGCTGCCCCGGGCGGGCGCGGCGGCGGTGCCTCGGGGCCGTGCGGGCGGCACCGTACCCGGGCTGCCCTCAGCGGGGCCGCCGCTGCCGCTGCCGGGCTCCGAGGGCGGCGCGGTGCTGGAAGGCGGCAGCGCGGAGGCGGCGGCGGCGGCCAGGAGGGCGGAGAGGCACAGCAGGGCGAGCGCGGTGCTCGGCCGGCGCCTCATGGTGCGGCGCGGGGCTCCGCCATCCACTCATTCATTTGACGCGACGGGGGGAGCCGGGGGAGCAGCGGCGGCGGCGCCGGGAGCGGCGGCGGCTCCTCCCGCCGCCTCAGCCGGCCATGCCCCGCCGCGCCCGCTCCCAGCGCCCCTCCGGCGGCTCCCGCCGCGCCGCGCCCCGGCTGACAGCGCCCGCCCCGCCCCCGCGCCGCCTCGGCCAATCGGCGCCGCGCCCGCCCTAACTGACGGCGGCGATGCACCAATCAGAGGACGGAGAGGGCGGGCGAAGGGCGGGGCGAGGAGGGGAGGGGGGCGGCATTGTGAGGGCGGAGGGGGGCGCGGAGTGGGACCTCCTTAGAACCCCCGCCGGGCGCGGGCAGCGGGGGCGGCCGCACACCTTCCTTTCTTATGTGTGTCTATATACTTATCTATATCTATATATGCACATTCTCTTTTAAAACATACATTTTTCATTAAAAATTTTTTCTGATTTTTAATCTCTAATTTTTACATTATTTTATTTTTTAAAGATATTGTTATTAATTTTTAAAGGTATTCCATTAAAAGAATTAAACTGCCCCTCCCGCTTCGGTTTTGGAAGGCAGCGAAGAAGGCGCCGGGGACACAAAGCGTGTTGCCGGCAAGCCAGGTCCATCCCAGCCTGAGCGATGCTCCGTGCCCCTGGATGCTCCAGGTCCCCGGACGGCTCCAGCGGGTCGCGGGGTGTCACCACCCCGCTCGGCACGACCCCCCCGCAGCCACCTGCATCCACCTCCCCCCGTCCGCCTCCTTCATCTCCGGGCCTGCGGTAGTGCCGTTCCCCTTTGTGCTGCTCATCGCCGGGGCTGGAGCTGTTCCCCACCCAGCAGGGGATGGATCAGCCATAAGGACAATGACACCTGGGGAACCCCCCAGGGCTGCCCCCCCTCCCGTGGTCCCGCTGGGGCTGACACCGGCAGTGACCTTGGCCAAATCCCCCGGTCCCGGAGGAGCGATCGGCAGCGCGGCGGGGGGAGGAAGCACAGTGACACAGATATTAATTATTTATGGGACCCAACTGGGTGATCGCTGGTTCACGCGTGCTGGAGCAGGAGGCAGGAGTGCGCTGCCAGCCCTGCGCGGTGGGGAAACGCTGCTCTGATCAACACAAAGGCACGTGGCTGCACGCCGGGATGTGCTGAGCAGCTGGGTGGGCCAGCAGGAGCACGATGGGCAGCAGCGTCCCTGCACATCCCGACGTGGGAAGGTTCAGAGCACTGGGGGCTTGGCGGCTCTTGGCTGCCCAGCCCTGCCCTGCAGGTGTGTGGCACTGCCAGGGGAGTGTTTGCATCATCTCTCGTTCCTGAGGGAGCCAGTGGATGCTGACAAGTGTCTCTTTGGAATTAGACAGCCCCACCTTCGCCCACCACATGGTCTATCTAGGCTGCCAGTCCTTCTCCAGCACAATATTTAGGGGTTGTCTACAAGGGAAACGCTGCCTGGCATAGCTGCTGTGGGATAATTATTCTGCAATCACTCACTGCTCTTCCCCCATACCCGTCCCCTTCTCAGAAATAAATGGGACTTTATTCCTGCATAATAATATAATTATTATTCCCCAGCAGCTCTGCTGCGCCATTTCCCCCACGGAGACAAACCCTTCTGAGATCTGCTTTTCATAATCGCCGTCAGCCTGTCGCTCCCCACGGGACCAGAGGGTCCCTCTGATCAGGGGGAATACAGCTGGCAGGGAGGCAGGAGGCTTTGCTGATCAAGTGTCTCCTCCAGCACTTCACACAAGGTTATTGTCTGTAGGAACGGGAAGAAGGAGCCAAGCAGAGGAACGATTAAGGAAAGAGTTGTCTGGAACAAAGAAATTCCTTAGTTTTAAGTAAAAGCTGCGCAGCCTCAGCAGCCAAAGGATGGACCCTGAGCCCAGCTCCTGGCTCAGGGCTGCTCCCCACGAGGGCCCACACAGCACAGGCTGCTAGATCTGCTCATCTGGTTCCCAAAATATTGCATTCTCCCTTTCTGCTTTGGAGGAGCAGTTAAGCACGTCACAGCCTTTCATCTCTTTATCCTCAGGTGGCCCTGTGCTGCCACCCTGACACAGGTCATCCTTATCCCAGCAGGACCTCAAAAGAGGACTGGACACCACTTGGACGTGGGATTACAAACAAACTCAGAGGCTCCTTCTGCCCAGATGTATGATTTCAGTGCTGGCTTATCGTGAGAATCACTACAAAGAGCCACAACAATAAAATTTACTGTCTTTACCACATTGTGGGTACACACAACTCAGAATCTTCACAGTAATGCCCCATCCTGGTGGCAGCAGGGGTGGAAAACAAAAGGGCTGAATTCCCACCTTGGTGGAAAACACTGCCAGCCCCCCAGGGTGTCAGTGTGCCCGGCAAGGGCTGGGTGGAAGGCCGGAGAAGGGCTACGGGAGATGCTGGGCAAAGGGGATGGAGGATGCTGGGTGAAGAGGATGAAGGATGCTAAATAAAGGGGATGGAGGATGCTGGGCAAAGGGGATGGAGGATGATGTGTCCCAGGCCCTGCTCAGGGACAGTTCTGCAGGACCTGCCGCTCCCCCTGTTGATGTCAGATAGAGTTGCAAGTGTTCCACAGCCCTGAGCACCCGACCCAAACCATCCATCCCTGGCTGATCCCAAAAATCCAAGCACCTGGAAAAACTGTTGGCTGCTTTCAAGGACGTTCAGCTTGGGATACCAAGGGCACAGAGCTGACCTGTGCTGGCACTGTGCCACTGAAATGTTCACGCTTCCCTTCTTTTTGTGTTTTCATTTTGCAATAAGAAGGTGAGGAATGCACGTCTGAGCAGGATGGATCCCTGAGGAACACTGAAGGCTGACAGAGATCCCAGGTTGCACACAGGCAGCCCAGCCTCCATGCCTGCTTCTTTCATAAGTTTTAGAGGAATCGACATCCTCCCCAGAATTGTTCCTATTCCATCAAATCAGCAAGATTTTCTTCCCCAGTGGAAAGTTTCCATCAGATATGTAGCAACCAACTCTTTCTCTGACCTATTTGCAAGCCCCAAGCCACTCTCCACCACCCACTGCTTGAAAGCTTTGATAATTCAATGAGATGTTAATTCTGACATCCAGCATAACTCTCAATACAAAAACTTCTTTTTTTTTTTTCTTTTTTTTAATTATCATTAATTGCAATGCAGGAGTAATGAATCCTCTCCGCAGATTTGGCATTCAAAGCACCCAGCAGCATTTTGCTGCACAACTCCCATTAAGTCAACGTGTATTAAGTGGTTTTTGACAGTCCCGTGTGCTCTGGGGTTGGCAGAGCCCAGAAACAACGAGGCAGCCCAATTCTGCCTCGGGGACTGAGGCACAAGGCAAAGTCCAGCCTGGTCAACACATGTAGGTGTCAGCACACGGCTGCTAAAAAATCACACTGCAAAAGGGCACTGTCACTTTTAAGCACGTCAGGATCGTCTTTTAGGGCAAAATTCTGCTCTAAATGCAAAGGGTTGTTGGTGAGATCCCATGTGCTTTGTCAGGACACGCAGCCTGTGCGTCTGAGCTGCACATGATGCTGGAAACTTTTTCACCTTCATTTAAGAGCCTGACTCAGTGGGTCTTTGCAGGACTGGCCCCTGGGGCAAGGTGCCCTCCACTCCCTTTGCAGAGCCCTGTCAGGCTCTCCCTGATCCGAGGGATATCAAATCTTCTTTAGGTTGCACTTCCTCAGTGAATATTTTCTTTATTCCACGTACATATTTAAAATTTGTTTTAGTCATCAAACAAAGAGTGGTTGGGAGTAAAAAACCTTGGGAGCATCTGTACAAACCCAGGCACAAGACACAGGAACTGATTTAAAGCACAAACAGAAGCCACAGCTTTATTTTCACTGCTGGAGCCACATAAATAGTATGTGTGTTGGGAAACAAATAATTTTTATAAATCTTTCTGTTCCCATGACCAGGCCAACATTACCAAGGAGAAGATGACAATTAGAGTGCAGAACTCTGTGCCTCCATCTCTTTCTTCATCTATTTTAAAAATAAAGCACCTTCTACGTGGTTGCTCTGGAACAGCAGCCCTGCCTGAGCTGAAGAAGCGCATGCATTGCCTACATTTATCTGCTGATTTAAATATAAATGAAAGTGAGTGAATTATAAACGGAGCCTGGGGAGTTGTCTCTGCAGGCCTATGGCTGCTGGTGGCAGAGGCCTGGAGCCTCACCTCTGTGTGTGGGAGGAGCAGCCACAGCACCACTGATCCTCCACAGGAGACAAATCCCTCCTTCGCTGGGTCCAGTTCCCTCACACTCTGTGCTCACGGGGTATTTACCCTTTTATATATTCCCATTTTACCACAATGCTGAGCACTGAGCATCCATCCCTCCAGCTGCCTGCAAATCCGCCCAGGAGAAGCCCTGGATCCTGGGGCATCCCTCTGCCCTGGCCATGAGCCTCCCCACACCCTCCACACTCCTTTTTATCTGCATAAAACCACTGCAGAGATGAAACAGCAAACGTTTGTTGTCCTTCTTGCAACTTCCCAGACAGCAAAAAAGCCCCAGCATCAGCCAAGGGGGCTGCAAAACACCACGTGCTGCATCTGCTGCTGCTCCTACTGTGAGCATAAACAAACTTGGTGTTGGCACAGGTCTGCTGTCATCTCAAATAAATCCAATTAGCAGCCAGACCTCCTTCTCTTGCTGGGGGGACATCAGCAGCAGGGGCAGGACGTGGTGGGGGTCCCAATTCTGTGCCCACTTAAAGAGCAGCTTAACTTCATACCAATGTAAAGCTAAGCTCCTTTTCACATCAAAAATTGTCCTACAAATGCAAAAGACTGAACAAATTGGCCAGTGCATATGTTTATCTCTGCTCTCCAAGAGGTTGGATCAGAAGGTCTGAGCAGGGAGGGTCAGGCTGCCGACTCAGATTGCTCAGAAAGTGCAATTTCTCTTCCATGGGCTATTGTGGCACTTTCAGATGTGTTCTCCTCTCCAAATCCTGTTGTCCACCCAAATTT